GGGAGCGTAGAAAACTCGTTTCCCCTCGGCGCGCGCTAATAAGTTTCCGCGGAGGAACTTTATTTCTTTTTTTTTTTTTTTTTTTTTTCAGCTTAATTTTTTAAAAATCAAGCGCAAAATGTCTCACGCTTCCCCCCACCCTCTCGAAGAACAATTAAAAAGAACAAAGGTAGCGGGAGAGCAGCCGCGTCCTGATGTGTGCATGTGTATACGCCGGGCGGCGCGTGCGCTCGATCCCGGAGTAGGCCCGCGCGGCGCGTACGACTAGTCAGTCGAGCGCCGGCACAGCACTCGCTCAGTTATCACCGCTTCACGATATCGTCCCGATGCTAATAGCAACTCTCGCAGTGCCGAGGAAGCGCGACGACCTGTTTCCCGTGAGAACGTTGTCGTTGTTTCGTTGTGGTGCAGTGAGTTTAAGCTAAAGTGTCCCCCCTATATAGTGCACCGAAATAAACACATACTGTTACTTTGTACATATTTTTTATCGGGGAAGAAGAAGAAAAGAAAAATGGCACCCGCGGCTAGTGTGCTCGATTGGTCGGAGCCTCGGCAGAACTGGTGTTACCCGAAGGGCGGGGCGGAGCAGAAGTGCGATCGGCAGCGGCGCCGTCAGCCGATCGGCAGCAGAAAACTGCAAAACTCCCAGCAAACGGTCAAGGCCCAGAGCACGATTGAACTGAACGACAAGGCCGCCGATTCCGCGTATAAGAAGATCTGCAAGTTCCTCAGGCGACTCAAGTCGAAGAAATGTACGATTTTGGGCCCACCTTTTTTTTTTTTTTTTTTGTTTCATATACGTTATAGTTGTACAGGCGTGCCGGCTAACTTTGGAAATCTCGCTATCTAGTGCGCGCGAGGTAGCTACTTAGGTGGTACTTGCTGACCCACATTTCGCGGAAGCGCGTCTCCCTCTCTCGCGAGTGCGCGGCTTGAATGTGATACTTACTCTCGGTCTCGAGGTTTTGTTTTTCTCGAGAGCTGAAAGGAAAGAAAAAAAAAATTACGCGGCTGTAGCGCAATGGGAGAGCAATTTTTTCTTTTTTTTTAATCGCTGATCCCTTGCATCATATCCTCGAGAGTGCGTGCTCGGATAGTTTTTTTTTTTTTTTTTTTTTTTTTTTTTTTTTTTTTTTATGAATACATAAATACGCGGTTTCGCGCCTTACGTAACTCGGCACGCGAAAGTAACATGACGACCGTATGGGCTTTCATCTCCGGCTTTGGGAACAATGGGGTTGACGATGACTGTGTACGACCTCGTGACAATGTGCACTTACATAGAAAGACATGTCGCGGTAATGTGTCTTTGAAAATTTGTAAAACCCACGCCCGCACTTACATATATATGTACGCGGGGATTGCCGATGGTGTATTAATAAAGCGTTGAATAACGAGCTCGTCAATCGCGTACACTTATATGGATATTAAATTGTTTGTTTGCTTGTTTTCTTCTTTTTTTTTTTTTTGTTTTTTTTGTTTTTTCCCGACGCACACGCGCTCGCGTTATCTAGTTAATAATTAAAACGGAGCCTACGTAGCTCTCTTGGGGAATTTATCTTCGCGCGCGTTAGCTCTGTGGAAATTTTTTCCTCGTAATAAGATAATGCGGTTTTGTGTACACATAGCAAAGACACCTATACGAGCGTGTATTAGTGCAGTTTGGGAAAAACACTGGATTAACGCATTGTTTCCTTTTTCCTTTTTGCTTCGAAAAAAAAAAAAAAATTGCAAGTTTCTTCTTTACGAAATGGAAAAAAAAACGTTATGTAGCTCTACCAGTTCAGTGACCTGTTTTTCATAGCACCACGAATCCAAGACTATTTTTTACCTTAGCGTTAGCGTTAGACTTGTGAGTCACGAGTCACCTACACACATCCGATAACACTTTGGGCGTCAGGTGCCTGAAACGGGACGACTAACACTTTAGTTGGTGTGACGAAAATCGTTTAGTCGAGACTGAGAATTTATTGATAAGGAAAATAAATACCGATGTCGATCGAACCAACAACAGGAAAACGACCGAGCATGTATACCTATACATTCTTGAAAATCCCCGAAAGTATGCGTATTGAATATCACACGGTATAGGTACACCTTCGAACTATTTCTAGGCTCGCGATTTCCGAAATACTTACCCCAGAGTAGCAGTGGCGTCGAGAAAATCTGCTGATGTCCTCTCTCTCTCTCTCTCTGAGGATTTAATTTTAAACTCGATATAGTTAATATACCCACACACATAATATGTATTTGTGATCGCGTGCAGGGGGGGGTCCCTATGTGTTGTTTCTGAAAGCTCAGCGAGAGCGATTGGCAAATAAATCAACGCTGACCGTGGCTGTTTTTGTTGCTCGGAGGAGAAAAATTCCATCTCTCTTTTCTCCCCCTTTGTCGCCTTTTTGCAAGACGGAAGAAGACGTTGGAGCTTGTTTGCAAGTTTGAACCACTCGTACCTTGGTGCCAATCAAGGGTCTTTTTTTTTTTTTTTTTTTTTGATACATGAAAAGTTACGGAAGCTCTAGGCCTTCGCGAAGATACCTCGTTTATATACGACCTGTACAAGACGACATCCCCAACGGTATATCTTTGTAATCACAAATCGCTCTCCTTGGTCTCCTGGCAATTACCCTCGTGGGGTGCCCGTTACCCAGACGTAAACACTCGAGACCATCGTCGCCGTGGCTCCGTTTTTATCGCGTACTTGCGGCTCGTCGTTTGCTCGGCGCATATATTAATATATCAGAGCACTCGTGCAAAGAGGGAAAACAGAGAGTCACGCGCTCGACGATGTTGACGTTGTACGTGCGTAAGGAAGAGCGAGGGGTCAAATTTTATATTTACCCTTCCCCCCCTACTTACCTCGGCTATGCGTAGCGGACACACACGGGAAAAATTGTTGACGCGCTCTTTTGGCGCGACGTGTGTGCGGAGAGCAAAGACTCGTGCGATAAGTATATCATATAATTATACACCTGCGTATTTTCAATCAAAGGAAACGAAGAAGAGGCTTTGCGCCTACTCACCTTGGTGTTCGGCTCTGTTGATATTTGGACAAAGGTGAAAATAGATCGCGACCTATTATGTACCGGGCCTATTTTGAGCTAAACGATTTTTCTCCCACATCGAAAACTTGTGTCTCGTATTTTGCGTTAACAAGAAAAAAAAGGTTCAATGGTATGATTATCAGCGGGGGGTCGATAACGAAATTTCACGTGGTATACTTACAACTCGACTATAAATATGTGCTCAAGATTAATCGGCGAACGATATCGCGCGCACGCACCATAATACATATATATACGTCTTTGGAACGAATATACACATCGGTAAATCCAGCAATTGTATTTATAATCCAATCGGATATCGGGCGAGCGCACATAAAAATTTAAACGATTTTGTGGATGGAAAGTGCTTACCGATCTATTAGCTGTCGGAAGGTAGCCACGTGTATGTATACAGTTCGCGATCCCTCCTGAGCGTCCTCCTCTTGAAGATCCAAGCTAAAGTAGCAAAAAAAAAAAGGAAGGGAAGGAAAAAAATTATTCGCCCGATGGTGGTGGCTGTTTGAGCAGCTGGTGGTGGGCGGACATGCGGAGGCGCAACCGAGAAAGCGGGAGGATCGGCGAAACGAGACGTAGAAATCCCTATCACGAGGACGCAGCTGATGGCGTTCCTGTGTCGCGCGAGGCCCTGCGTTTGCCGTCCACCGCAGGTTCCCGAGATATTTTTTTTTCCTCCTTACCCCCTTACCGGTCGATCGGTTGGTGTGCGATTTCCGAAGGTTTCGAGGTTAACTCGGGGGCGTCGAGGTTACGCGAGCAGATATTATACTCTCGGCACGACGGATTTTTACAAAAATTATCATATACCACTACGCATAGTTTGCGCGATCGATCGACGGATATTAAAAACTTCCTGCGTTGCCGCGCCCTTTTGTCATCGTAAAAATAAGTCCGACCTCCAATGAGCATAAAACTATTTTAAACAGACGGTGACATTGCTACTCGTGTAAGTATAACACACGAGTTTTCCCCTTTGCGTTGGAAGCGCACTTTTTATTCGCATCTCGATGGGATTATCTCCTCCGCAGTGACTCGAGAAGGAAATGTAATTAGTAGTGGTAGGGATGAGTTTAGAAAAAAATAAAATAAAATACATTCAATTCTCATTGAAAAAAAAGAAAGCAAATGAACGAGTTGTTTCAACCACGTTGCAAGAATAGGTATATCTGTATTGGCAAAAGATTGGAGTGGTCCAACGTTGCTGTTGGATGAGCTCCAATGTGAATGAAAAAAAAAAAAAAAAAAAAAAAAAAAAAAAAAAAAAAAAAAAAAAACGGATTCATGGCGTGGCAATATCACCAAAAACTCCCAATGGCGGTCCAAAGCGAAATCCACAAGAGCCTAAGATTTCCACTGAAAAATAAGAAAAAAGATGCACGCGATGGCTCGCAAAAGATAGTGCTCCCATTGTTGGGTACACGACAAAGCGCCCCGTTGTCTCGAGAGTCCAGCATTAGCCGGCCATTAGCAAAGTCCGCACGAAGGAAATCCTTTGATTTGAAATTCATAGTTATACGTTATTGTACTAAATTTGTCGTTCGCGGGAAATTTCCATGCGTAAACAAAAGCCATACTGAGCCGTGGCTTTGAAAGCTGTAACGTATACACCTGCTCGAGAGTCGGTTTTTCGCCTTCGTGGAGCAAACGCTGTTGTGTTGTCGTGCACGAAACCGAGTAAATCGCGAATAAACACAACATGCGCAAATTGTTGAAGCTGTGCGATAGCCGTGAGTAGAGTGTGTCACTTGACTTGGGGAGTCGCGGGTGTTGTTCGTATATGATTAACCAATGCAAAATGAAATTCAGTAAAACCACGTACCACTTGAAGCTTTTGTTAGCCCAAAAGTATAAAGTAAAGTGAAAAAAGAAAATCGATTTTACTGTAGCGAGTTCGCATTCTCTGTTTGTTTTCTATGGGCGGTGCGACGTACAATGCAGGCAAGGATGGCAGCAAGGTGACGACAGTGGTGGCGACCCCGGGCGCCGGACCCGACCGTCCCCAGGAGATCGCCTACACCGATACCAAGGTCATCGGCAACGGGAGCTTCGGCGTCGTTTACCAAGCCAGGCTCTGCGAGACCAACGAGACCGTGGCCATCAAAAAGGTCCTGCAGGACAAGCGTTTCAAGGTCCGTTCTTTTCTTGTTGTTGGCTCCCCTCTCCCCTTGTCTTTTTTTTCCCTTTATTAAAAACAAAAAATCTTTTTTTCCCATCAATTTACAGAACAGAGAACTGCAAATAATGCGACGTCTCGAGCACTGCAACATCGTCAAACTCAAGTATTTCTTTTACTCCAGTGGAGATAAGGTAATTGGTTGAGCTACCTGTGTTTTTTTTTTTTTTTTTTTTTTTTTTTTTTTGATTTTTTTTTTTTATGCGACGACTCCCATTGGTAATATCATCGTANTTTTTTTTTCGTGCTCATTCTATTTTTATTTTTGGAAAATATCGTTGGTTTTGGCCGTGTTACGAAGCATTCATTAATATTTGAAAATGAATGTAATCCAGAGTTGGGGCGATTAATGTAATTATTTACCGTATTCGTTTACAACTCTTTGTATTTTATTTTTCATAAATGTACTTTTCGAATTATTATTCAGTTCAAAGTGAATAGCCAACAGTAAAATCCACGAAATATAATGGGGTGCAACTGTCTGTGTGTTTATTTAATGCGTGTGTTATTATTTATAGAACATCTTAAACGCGACTAATCCAGTATTTCACGTGGCCGTAAGTGGAGGCGTTACCCAGTAGTTACAACAATTATGATCCCTTTGGCAGTGTTTTAGGCATTGTTGCTTTTTTTCAATGACAAAAGATTTTTCTGAAATGAAATATACATATATTCGTAATTTATTATGATCACAAGTGTTTTAAAACTGTAAAAATAAAAGCTAATATGCTGCTTGGCTAGTGGGACAATCTTTTCTTATGGCTAGTATTGGCGTCCGAAAAATTGTTGCTTTTTAATAAAGAAACAAAAAAAAAAAAAATTGCTACAACTTTTCTGTGATGTAGAGTATTGCAAAAATTGATGCCTAGGATGCATGATCAAATAATAAGCTCCTCAAAGGCTAGTTCTTAAATTCTTTTTGACCTTCCAACAGCTAAGGTTGTTACTTTACGATGCAGAAAAGTTCTCTACTCAATTATCGCCTTGAAAAAAAAATTACAAAAATTGTTCTTTTCATGCAGAAGGACGAGGTTTACCTGAATCTAGTCCTGGAATACATCCCCGAAACCGTGTACAAAGTCACCCGCCACTACAACAAGAGTAAGATGACGATACCGATCAGCTTTATCAAGGTAACTGATAAACAAAGAAATTTTGTTTTTCACCCATAAGTAAAATTAGTTTTTACCTCCATTCAGTGTACATAAATCGTCCAAGTTTACTATAATTGTCGATATAAAATCGAGAGATTTGAACCGGTTTAGTGGACATATTAAAATAAATCCTGTAAAGAAAGCAATTTTTACGTTTATAACAAAGTTTTTTAGAAAATGTCATTTTATACTCATGGCAAAATAAAGCATGAAAAATGATTTTCTGGTCCTTGCAGCTGTACATGTACCAGCTGTTCCGCTCGCTGGCGTACATCCACTCGTTAGGTATTTGCCACAGGGACATAAAGCCGCAGAATTTGCTGCTCGACCCGGAAACTGGGGTCCTCAAGCTCTGCGACTTCGGATCGGCCAAGCATCTCGTCAAAGGCGAGCCCAACGTCTCCTACATATGCAGTCGCTACTACCGTGCTCCTGAGCTCATCTTCGGTGCTATTGACTACACCACAAAAATCGGTAAGAACAGTTTTTTAATTTTTTTAATTTTTTTTTTTCTTCCACTACTACTCTGTCTTCATGTTTAGTTAGGAGTAGTCAAAGGAAACGTATAAACCCTAGTTTTTAGTTAAAAAAAATTGATGATATGCTATCCGAGATTTCCTTGCATTGCAACCAATCAATTAAGTCCGAAAATCGGTAAACTCTAAACTCGTTTCGTGATTCAATAAGTGGTCGAAGAATAATCAGGTTCTTTTGATATAATATAGTATGTGTATTTATTTGCGAAGAGGTATAGAGTACCGATAAAAAAATTAAACGTTTTCGATTGCAAAATTGTTTCGGGTATCAAATAAATAATTTTTCATTCTCTCATGTTTATGCTGAAATTAGCGCTTCTTATCTTAGGTACATTTTCTTTCTGGTGACAAAAATACAATACTGCCGGCAATAAATCAAAACGTACCACAAAAAAAGCTGCTGGTGCTTGGCAATTGCACAAATACGCTTGTTTGCCAAGACGTAATTCTTGATGGAACGAGAGAAAAAAAAAAAAAAAAAAGAAAGTTAAAAATAAAATTATTTTCAGACGTGTGGAGCGCTGGTTGCGTGCTAGCCGAGTTGTTGCTCGGTCAGCCGATATTCCCTGGTGACAGTGGCGTTGATCAGCTGGTCGAGATAATCAAGGTCCTCGGTACGCCGACCCGCGATCAAATCCGCGAAATGAATCCCAATTATACCGAGTTTAAATTCCCGCAAATAAAAAGTCATCCGTGGAACAAGGTAAGCTTATCAACGTTAAACAACGCAAAACGAATAATCATTTTTTTTTTTTTTCTTTTTTAGTCAATAGCTCATAAGTTCATGCTAAGCTCGCACTTATTGCATTTCAGTAGAATCATTTGTCTATGTGCAAGAAAAAAATTTTTTTTTCCTCAAATTTGTTGGTACGATTAATACTAACGTAATGGTTTTATGAAAATGAACTGATTAATGCAACTTCAAACGCGTATTAACTCTATGATAATCATTGAAGTATATATTATTATCGTTATTAAAAAAATTTCAAGGTATACGTAATAAAATTGTTTTTTTTTTATTTCTTAGTCGTCTAGAGATTACAGAAAGAACCTTCTATATCAGTAATACGCGTAAGAAAATCGTTATTAATATTCAAATTGTAAATCAAAGACATATTTACTCATGATTTGCAGTACATGCTTCAACGAATGAGTTTGCCAAAGTGTTCTACCAAGCACCAAAAGATTAGAGTAAGTGGCAAACAAAAAAAAAAAAAAAAAATTTTGGAACGTGTTTACATGGCTGCCACCTATACTACTATTTTCTCTACGTGTTCTTTACATTTTTACTATTTTTTTTGTTTCTGTCTATACATGCCAGCTACATAACTAACAGTAATAATTATCGAGCAGCGAGCTCGGTAATGCAATCGTTATAATATTATTATTATTATTATTATACCCCACCCCCTAAACATAATTATTGAATTCCAAGTAGTGGTATGACGATAAAAATTTTACAATACGCCGTATTGATCCGATATGATAATAATTTGATGTACAAGCTTATCTGTGTGACAAAACACACAAAACTGCACAAATTTTCATGCATTGAAATATGGTGCAACCAGCCAAGAAGCTTACTTAACTTCTACGAGCTCTATACACAGTGCTTAAACGAAATTTTTCTGTGACTATTAATTTATGGCAGACCTAACGTTACTAACATTGTTAATCAACTATTAAAAATAATAATGTTTTGGATTAAGTATATCACTTACTCCGATTGTTTTGGTGCTTCTTCTTTTAGGCACAAAGACATGCGACTTTGAAGAAACAAAAGCATTAAAAAAAAAACAACAACAACAACAACTTCACTTAGATTCATCTATCGCATAAAGCATGTTATACGAGCTTACAAGCAAATTTCGACTTTGAAATCACGTAACAGATGCATCATAAGAGCGCCACGTAAAAATTACTATTCAGAAATAATAATAATAATAGTAAAAATTACGCCTAACTTATTAGTTGACCAATCATTTCATTTCCATGAGCCAACCTCATACATATATAATGTGTCCACAAAATTTCGAAAATAATAATCACACTTTACAGCAAACTTTCATCCGCAATCTGAAAATAGTCAACCTTCACGCTTAACGATCCAACCCTTTGACATTCCCCCAGGTGTTCAGGCCGCGCACGCCCCAGGACGCAATGGACCTCGTCGCCTGCCTGCTCGAGTACACGCCATCGCTGCGCATGACCCCGCTGGCAGCTTGCGCCCACAAGTTCTTCGACGAGCTACGCGAGCCGTCCACGCGGCTGCCGAACGGCCGGGACCTACCGCCCCTCTTCAACTTCACCCCGAGCGAGCTAATGATTCAGCCCCAGCTCAACTCCATCCTCGTGCCCAAGTACATGCAGACGTCGTCCACGGCGACGGACGGCGCGGCGAGCCAACAGCAGCAAGCCACCTCGCAGGAGCCCGGCACGACGTCCGAGGCGTCGTCGACCTCGGCCTCGGCGTCCGCCACCCAGGGAAGTGCCGCTGCGGCCAACTCGTCTGCCGGCAATTCGTCGAACGACAGCGCGAGCTCTACGCAGACCGGCACCACGCAGGTCGCCAATCCCAACCAGTCCAGTATGGCTTAAGGGGTACGTTGGTTTACACCTCACCACAAGAACCCTGTACTTGCGAGCGCGTTAATCAAACTTTTTTTTTTTTTTTTTTTTTCATTTGTTCATTTGCAGGTGTGCGCCCTTTGGAGGATATTCGGCTTCTTTTTCTCATCTTCCTTTCTACCTGGCTCTTGTTTTAATTTGACTTGTAAGAGAAACAACGGACGACTCAAAGAGAACGTAGAAAAGGAAAACAAAAGGACGACCATAACACGCAGACTAATCACCGCGAGGGATATGGTAGAAGCACAAGTTTATAAAAAGAAGATAAGCGAGATATTCGTCTCGTCTTGACAGGGCTGTCGGGCCCGAAGCACTTTGGTTCTTGGGGCGGTCGCGCGGGCGTCGTATTTAATTGCAGAAGAAGAAGAGGATGAAAAATAACGCAAACTTTGAACACTGTATTGCTGGGGATTGACGTACATATGAAAACATAGCCACGCTATATTCAACGTATTCTCACCTGCGGGACATTTGCTTTCCTTTCCGTTTGAAACGAAGAATATTTTGAAGGAATTGACGCGAATGAGCATCATCCGTGGGATAACTTTTCTTTCACACGCCACACCACACACGTACACGTAAGGAACATGAAAATACGCGAGTTACGGTTCGTAAGAATTTGCCTTACGAAGTGATGAAAAACAGAAACAAGTGAAGAATAAAAAAAAAAAAAAAAACTGGCCACGCGACTACGTAACACGTAAGACGCAAGTGAAAGCGAGTTTATTGTGTAAAAGAGTGCGTCGAGAATGAGAGCGCGAATGGTAATCACTTTTTGTTTTCTGACGACAATGGAACACGACAACACTTTGTGTTTTTTAATCGTGGAACGATGGCTTGAGGAACAATGTTGTGGATGTGTCGTGGATTTGATATATCCCTTCCAACGTAGATTAAAGGTTTAAAAAATTTTAAAATTAAAAAAAAAAAGTAAAAGAAATGCAAAAAAGCTTTGTGTCACTCACAAAATCGAACGATTGAGAGGGTTCGTTTGTTGACTTGCGTATGATCGAATTTGTTTGAATTGTACATACAGAGAACGCTGCGCTCTAGCCCGGTCATTTTTAAAAGAAAATCAAGGTGGGATAAATTGAAAGAAGAAGAAAAAAGAAAGAAAGAAAATGAAACGTGGAAAAAAGCCCATGCCGCTCGGAATAGGAGCCACAATATAGTAGCAGTCGTGTGCATATACTTACGGCGAATTGTGTTACGAAACAGCGGTTGAAAGGAAAACCCTCTAATTTTTCTCTACACGCGATTAGAAAAAAAAAAAAAAAAAAAAAAAAAAAAAAAAAAAAAAAAAAAAGAATGAAATAAACTACTTTATTCAGAACGAACGTGAATGAAAAATCAAAGGAATGCGCAGCTTTGTTTCGTTCACGTCATCGTACACTGCTTTTCTTTTTTTTTTTTTCTCAAGCTTTTTTCCTTCTAGACATATTCTCTTTTCAAAGAGGTAAACTCACATATACACAAACATGTCAACTCAGAAGCTCGAGAATCTCGTGGAGCTTGAGTATATATGAAAGAAGTATGAAAATTCTTTGTTTGTCGTGTAAGACACGTGCGAAATACGCAGCCGATTTCTCGAATCGTACATCAAAGATTTGATATTGACTTTCGACATAGGTGATCGTAACAAAGAAGCATATGCTAGATTTCAAACTTACGAACAAAGTTTTAGGTGGATTTTTTTTTTTATTTATCATACGTGATTTTAAGGATTTTACAAAGTAATTTTTACTATATCTTATTTTAAATGTCTGAAATAAGTGTTGGCAAATCCGAAATAATAAATCGAACGTGCAGTATTTGTAAAAGTTTTGAAAGAAAGATTGATGTGCACAGTCATAAATATATAACAAATCACCCTCACATGTTGCATAATAACGCGTTTTTATTCAATAGTTCTTTTTCTTCAGTTGGTAGTCCATTGGTCAATTGAAATTCAGATCTATCCAATAGACTTTTCACACAATGTTGCTCACCAAACATGCAGGCTGTTTGAAAAAATTGTGAAAGTAAAAATAACTCTTACAGTAGTAAAAATCATTTAAAACAGGGCTCTCAGTCATCTGGTACGGCTCGTGTTAAACGCGTAAAATAAATTTTGTACATTACACGAAATATATGTACACACACATTGGTTTTTTCTGTAAACGGATTTTGTTTGGTATGACACATTTGTATTGTATTGGATGATATTATTTTTTAACTAGGTCGCTTGACTAATAAAATTATTTTTTAACTAGTATCAATCTTTTTATTAAAAATACTAAAAATTTTGCGATTTCACGTTGAAAAAAAATTTAAGCAAAAATTTGTTGTGTGGTACGATTATCAATTTTATATTTTTGTAAAATGACACCATGTGCAATTTTTTTTTTTTTTTTTTAATTCGACAAAAGAAAAAAAAAATAAATGGAGAGAATTACGAAGCTTCTGAGATATCCAAAGTATCTGGGGTGTATATTTTAATATGCCTTATCTTGTAAATATAAAGGAACAAGTCGCTACGCTCTACTTCCTTCACATCTTAACAATCGAAGAACAAAATTCAATCCCAAAGCAGCAGTAAGAAACTAATATAAAAAATAACTTCTGAAGCATATAAAAAATACACATTTTTCAAAGCAGTGCAATAAAAAAAATTTTCAACCGCCCAACGTACGCCTACATATCACAAATGTGTTGGTGGCTGTCACATCTTAAACAAACTAGTAGAGTTCCTCCCTTGATACAAGGCAATTGTTTATTCACTTTGTACACGAAACGGAATAAATACAAATTTGCTGAGTGTATGGTGGAAAGTCAAGGCTCTGCTAAAAGTATGTGTCCTATACACAGCGGCCTCTCATTTTTTTCATGTATTTTTTTTTTTTTTCAGTTTTAATAGTGCCGACAGTCGCAATGACGTTTTACAAATTATATATTTTTAAAATGACGTAAAATTATCGCTTTAACTGTAGTTATTTTTTATTTTTATTATTACTAAGATAATGTGTACAATAACTTTTGCGGAGGTGTATGATCGTTGGTTTTTATTTAGCTACTTAATCTTTTCATTTTGTAAAACTGATTGTTCTCTTGTATAGGAGAAGTATGTCATAGATTAATATGATTCTGTTTTCCGCAATTTTCATAAAGTAAATTTGTGGTTCTCTTATGTATCTTTGAAGCAATCTCTCTTTGTATATTATATTATTATTATTGTACCGCTTAAGAGATGTTTTAATGCTCGTTACGATAACCAATAATTTTATTGGTTCTATAGGCAAAAATTGATCGTTTGTATTATATAAAAAATCAATTTGAAAATAGTAAAATAAAGATGTACAATGTATTTATAATCAATTTTTTGTCTCCATCAAAATAATGGTAAAAACCAATTTACCGTAATGGAATTTGATTTCTTTTTTGCGATGGCATCGAAACGAGAATGTTTATACGTAGAGAAAAAGCTCCGCAAGCTCCGGCAGGTTGGGCTTTTTTCCGACTCTCACATTGCGTGCACGAACTTTGTGTTTTTACAACTGATAAAATAAAACACGTTTTCTTGGCTATAAGTTTTTTTTTTTCTCTATAAATAATTATCTCAACGATTTTATGAACTTGTATGTACGTTTAATATTAATTAATGGCTGAATCGACAGAAGTAAATATATGTATGTATAGTAGCGCAATCGATTGGCGACGTGTCGTCCTTATACGAGTTTTTCCAAATAAAAAAAAAATAAATAAATAAAAAAACAAAAAAGAAAAAAAGGATTAAATCACAAGAAAAGCGACACTTTGTTGATCTCTCTATCACATATTAGAAAAATAAATACCCACGCTATGTAAGAAAAGTAAATATAAACAGAAAGATTGAATGAAAGTTGAGAAACGAAAGAAAAATAAAACAAAACACAGCAATCGAGTATACGTTTTTGTGTGCATGTAAGTGTGCAAGTTAATGTTAGCAAAAAAAAAAAAAAAAAAAAAAAA